TTCCTGCCTCTGCCAAGCAGACAGCAACCTCACCACTGTACCATTAATCAAGTTCCATCTTTTCTTCCTGTCCATTTCAGTTCTCTAATACTAAAGTTAATTTTCAGGTTGATGCTGATTAGATTCTAGACATACCTAAGGGCTGTCCCAGTGCATTCAGGAAGAAGGAAAGATGGGCACTCCACAGGCCTATGGGCATAAAACTCACCAAGCCCCAAACTGGACCTGAGTTTGATAAAGACTGAAGGGATCCTGTCCTGCCAGTCCCTGGTAAGGTGAAACCTGCTAATTCAGCCCTAGTGTCCTGCCAGCAATTTTTGACATTTTCTGGACAGCGACAAAGCTGAATTAGTGATTCCAAAATATTAATATCATGATTGGCATGAGATAATCCAGGGCTACTCAGCCACCGTTATCATGACTCTGCAGTACTCAGTGATTCTTGCTCTGGAACTTTTCTGCTCTTTCCTAGTTGCACAGATCATACAAGGCAGCCCATCATAGCTGGCATTAAGACTGGTTCATCTGTAAGGGCTGGGGAGTCTCTCAAGAAAGCAGTCCAGACTCGCAGACTTTTTATACACAAGGGTGCTCATCATCCAACTACCTGGCTTCTTCATCAGCTTCGTATGTCCTACCACCACCTGAAACATCTCGTTCACATCCATATCCTTAAACCTAATAATACCTTCCTTGAACATCAGGGAAACTACATTTGTGTGTGCCAGGCTGACTCTAACATTTACTTGCTGATTTATAAATTTAAAACACGTATATGGACAACAATTTACCAAAATTGAAGGTCAGGAACCTGCAACCTTTTCAAGATATTTCTGAAGGGACATTAAGCATCCCGCATATCATTTTTTTCTGTATTCTAGGAGAAAGTAAAGTTAACAAATGTATTTTCTAGTCAAAGGGCTACTCTAATAAGGGATTTATCAATCCTGGGACCAACATCTCCTCCTGTGAGATTTACAAAACAGGTGTTTTGCCCTGCTTCCTTATCAGATTGCTAAATAAAGAGAGGACACTGATAAAATAGGTTTAGAGCACGTACACAGGTAAGACAGGTGATTTACAGATTCAGAGCTGGTTCAGTTAGGAACCAGCTCAGTTACTTTATTATTCATGATTTTTATTATTGTTATTTACAGAACAGATTTCAACTTTACCATTTACCAGCATGTCATATCTGCCCTCTGCCTTTCTCAGTAGGGATTATCTTGTATGTACACAGATGGCTACAGAGCTCGTCTGTCTCTCACCCTCACCTAATCATTAAGGTTCAACAAAAGGTGAACACCATAATTATGAAAGAGCTGGCAGAATGTTTAAGAAGCAACAATAATCGATAGCAGCGAATGTACAATTTGAGCGATTAAAACTGAGCCATTCATCACCTAACAAAATGAGAATGAAATAAAATAGGGAAAAAACACCAGAAAGAAGTTATATAGGAATTGGAAGCTGATTCTTTAGGATGCCAAGAAAACTAATGTCATATTCTAGAAGATTCAGGCACATTATTCTCACTGGCTGTCATACTACATTGCCGGTCCTCAACTCTAAAAACCTCAGCAGTTTAGCACGTTCAAGACAGTTAATGAACAAATGGACCATGTGACTTTTTAATACCATATTTCAAAGGTCTTAAAAGCTGTCAGGGTTTCTGTCCCAAAGGATACCTTACTACAGGAGAACGTTAAGAGAATGACATTTAAAGAGAATTAATATGTATGTTAGTTGACAACAAATAACAACATAGAAGGTTTTACACTTCTTAACTGTTTACTTGTGGTTTTTTGGTTTTTTTTTTCAACATGCTAAATTTTCAGTAATTCCCATGGAGTAATCCTCTGGCATTCCTTGTCTGGAGTTCTCCATCTAGAATAAAGCACTCTTTGTTTCTATAATTCCTGTACCAATCAGCATGTTCTTAAGACCTCTCTTCTCCAGTCCTTTGGCCACACACTACGAGGAGACACAGACCTTGCAGTGAGAAAGCTGGTAGGGAAATGGGGAGAGTTTTGAACTGTGCCCATGCAAGAAATGCAAAAATTACAGTGGAAACCATGCTGATAAAGAACATTATATCATACAGAAATCTGCCTCTTCCACAGGGTTTAGTGGATGTTTTAGTTTCTGTCAACAAGGCAAGACATTGCTCTGTGGCTGTAAGAGCCACTGCAAAGCAATCATGGTAAAAAGTCCATGATTTTTTATAACCCTGGATAAACATCTTTGCCTGTATTTCACCAGGCTTAAGGGAAAGGATAACGCATTGCAAATATCCAAACAAGTGCTCACAGGTTCTTGAAATGTTCTCACATTAAATGTCTTCTCCCATGCTATTCCCACTCTGCTAACAAGGGCCAGCTGGGGTCCCATGCACAGCTCACCAAGGCAGGTTCTGTTACACTTCACAATTAGAAAAGTTGTTATTGAAGTGTCAGAAATATCAGCCTTTATGGTACCCACACATCCATAAAACACACCCTACAGCTTTTCTCATCAATATCCTTGAGTGCTCCACTGTGACTTGCGTTGCTGTTATTGCTGTAGGACCCTGCAGGGGTCTCAAAAGCTGGAATGTTAATATGCCATAGGAAAAAAAAAAAATGCAGTAAGGTGAGTGCAGCAAGTGTCCTAATAACTTCAGCAGAAAGTAGGCATTTCCAATGTGCCCTGACGTTGATATATACATTTAAATCTTTCCATTGCAACATTTTCTAACTCAAAAAAAAGAAAACAGGAAGCTCTAAATCGGCCAATCTTCTGCTTTGCAATTTACAAATCCATAATAGCTAGCAGAAAAGACTACGGAAAATGAAGATGGTGCAGAGGTGGTATGTGCTAGTCTATTAAAAAAATCAAAACTCTGACTAATGTTAAAGCAGTACAATTGTTCTTTTGAAAAATTAACTTGTAATTGAAATAGTCAACAGCCTTTCTGTTTGGTGCTTCTAAACATTAAGTTACATGTTCTGCTAAGAAACCCAGCAAAAGTAACCCAAATTAAGCCCAGTCTCCAGAAACAGAGAAATAATATAACACTTTATATTAATTGTGTTTCTTCCTAAATGGAAGAATCTATTTATTTATTTATTTTAGATTTGTAAATTACAAACTGGCTTTGCTAAGATCATAGAGAAATCTGAAGTACCAAACTAATCTAAGTTACGTGCCTTGAAAGGTCTGCACCTGAATCATAATTTCTTAAGCACAAAGTGAAGTACTGCAAAGATCTGGAGATTTGTGATACCACAGCGCTTCTTCCCTGACACTCCAGTTAATGCAAAGAAGGTTAAAACTATTCCCAGTCTGTCAGTAATTGGGGGACCCCTGCCATTTATCTTTGCTTTCTCTCTTACCCATTATCCCAACACCTGTTGCCTTGTAAATCCCACCTACCGATAACTTTATAGACTTCACATGACCTTTGAACACAGAATTTTGTGCTTCTGGAAAATGGGCTTTTTTTTTTTTCATCTTTTAATGGAAATGAAGAGAGCGAGTTGATTTGTAGCAACTGCCAGGAGAACCTACCTTTGTTCTTACGAACTACTTTTTGCCGCTGTATCACTTCATATTAAAGCAATCATGGATTGTGGGCATGCAGGAGAAGAATTAGTGTTATCTGCATTGGAACCACTAGGAAATAAATCCCTTATCTTCTCATTAAGAGACTGAGTGAACAAAAGCCCCTACGCCTCAGATTATGTAAATCAGATCACCTCTACAGCCTTAACCCTCATGTGACTGCACATCAGGGTCCCATCTGCAGACCTGAAAGCCTCTTCTCTTATCAAGAAACCAGCAGAGATCACCCACCGTTCAACAGCAGGAACTAGCCCATGAAAAGTCATGCAAAACAAAAGGGACTAGTTACACTATTCTGATTTTTTAGATGGTCACAGTACCAGATGGAGAGAGCTATTTCAACTGTGATATTACACCTTGGTAAAGAAAGCATGAGCCATTACAAAAGAAAAGAAATATTTTTGGTAAAATAAAGAATCACAACATCTGAATAGTTCTAAAGTTGGTAACTAACAATAATAGCCAGTTCTGTGAGTCTGGAAGTGCAGAGAACACCCTCAGCCTTCAATAATGGCATAATTAACTGGCTATCACCAGGCAAACATCCAGGTTACATTTTTTTAAATGCTCTGAGATTGATTTTTGTTTTTCTTTCAGTGCTGAATAGTAATGTATCAATATTTTCTAACAGATTATCTAAGAACAAGATTGGGGCACAGCCAGACCTTAGACAAGTATACTTCATCACTAACAACGAAGAAACATGAAGGGGAGAGAAGAGAAAACACAGGAAATTTCTATTTGTACTTGTAATTTGGGTATCTAACAGGTTTTTTGAGTAAGAACAAGATTAAAGGATCAGTACTTTTCAAGCCCTGTAGTTTGCACTGTGAAGGTGAGGCAACACATTTGAATGCATTTACGTAGAACAGACAGTTGGCTACATGCTGTATTTTGTGCTCTCCAGGTAATTAAAAATTACTCAAAAGTCACACCATGACTTTTGTATCTCTTCTCACTCAAATGAATATAGAGTCAGAATTCAAAACCTTAAAAAACCTGTGATTCAGGAAGTCCTTAAACACTGGACCAGATGTAAGAGTACTTGTGATTCAAGTAAGATACACAGCACATCGAACCCAGTGTCCAAGTATACCACTTCATGCAACAACAAGAGTGAGTTCCAAACACTGGAAACGTCACGATCTCAGCTCCTGCCTCCAAGCAGTCAGTGTATTTGTCCATGGAAGCATGACTGGGCCCTCCATGGGAAACTGTGGTCTACCCTCATGGGGTTTCACCACTAAATTAACCAAACTTCAGAAGTTAGTACCTGTTTCTCAAGGTGCTGAAACTTTCTGTCCAACCCACACCTTGCAGCAGATTATTTGCATCTGTCAGACACCAGAGTTGTAAAGCAATACTAAAAATTTGTAGAATGCCAGACATTTTCTTACCATAGCCAAAGGGAGAACTCCTACCAGGTCCTTCTGGCTTACGTAGATCTTGGAGATTCCTAGATCAGATGCTGTATCTCCAGGATATTCTACTTGCCATGTGATGAGCTGGGTCCCAGGTAAGTCAGTTAGGTCTTCAATTTCAAAATCAATTTGCATGATTTCAGAGGAAGGACCATCCGCACTGCAAGAAAAGAAAGAAAAAGAAAGGTTCCAATTCACGTGACTGATAAGACAGCAAAATAATTGCTTTTATACTAATAAAACATTGCACTAAGGCTCTTCCAATAAGAGGATTTGGTGGGATGGTGGACTTAGTAATGAATTAATCATTTGCACTTGTCTTAAGATTTCAGGGTATTTCCCACACATTCAAGTGGCTTACTAACACTCTGACACGGATCACTAAGCACTGCTCCATCTGACAGGTGGAGAAGCAAAACCAAACCAAGGTAAAGCTAAGGCTGAAGCTTGAGCCTAAAACCCCAGACTTTGAGGTTCTCCCTTTAACAAGCACATTGTATTTTCTCCCCGTTATAGCAACACATAAGCAAATCTAAAGGGAACCATACCTCAAAATGGGAAACCACTGCATTAAAAGTATTTTTTGCTTTTTAAAAAGGGAGGCATGGAAGAGGGGTCAAAGCTCCGGATGGGGTCCGTGAACCAGGGCAGCAGGGAATAGAGGATTGGAAAACTTGCAATTAATTTTTTTTGCTATACTGCTTCCTTGCTGTGAATGTCTGTCTGAAGCTCCTTTTGTCCTTTGCTAAACTAGGAATTACAGCTAATTTAGTTTGTTGCAGGAGGGAAGAGTCACAAAACCGGATTATTTAATATTGGCCAATCCTGCCAGCATCCTTGAACAAAAAACACTAGAAAAGAACAAAGAGTTACTAGACGTTATCCTCCAGGATACTCTGGCAACATTGGGGTTACTGATACCTTATCAATGCTACTTTGTCTTTACATGCTGTCCGTCCTAAGGTTCAGTTAAGTGAATAAATATCATAAAGCAGAAAAGTAAATAGGGAAAACTGGAAAGAGGCTCATTGGTGCAGCTGCAGCAAAGCTTGTTATAAAATCAGCTACTGTACAGAAAGCAATGTAGTAAGGTTTCTATTGTGTATCTTGGCAAGGTGAGCTCCATAGTCCAGTAGCATTTATAGAGACGAGAAAATACTTGATTTACTGTAAAGTTGTTGAGGATTGCAGAATGTCTTAGCAGTGCAGAAATCCAGGGGATGTTGAGAATGACAGTGCTTTTACTTCTGAAGCACTGAAGGTGAACAGAACTTCAGTATTTGTGTGGAGGGGAAAGGAAAGAGCAGAATTTCTTTCAGTGGGATAATGCTCCAGGAGAGAAAGAACAGCACAGCACTGCAGTGGCACAAGCCAGTTAAGTTGGAGAGTGCAACTAAAATAAAGAGGAAACATTTCAGCAACTCATTAGAAAATCCCAGAATGTGCTCAAAACCCAGCAGGTTTTCCCAGCTGATGTGGAAAAAGAGCTAAAAGTAGCCATATTTTTTATGAAGACCAGTTATGACAACAACCCCAGTTTGGGATTCTTCCCAAAATACTCAGCAATTTTTATCATGCTGGCTAAATCAAATGCTTTATCCAAAGACACTGCGTGAAGAGTTTAATCTTATCATCTTAAAGGTTTGGATTTTAACAGATGTATTGCTTTCTTGCTATCCTGGATGGAATTTAAAAGAAGCCTCTGTGTTTCCAAAATAGAATACATTGTGTTCAATTTCTCATTTCTTCATGTCAGGAAAAAAAAAAAAAAAGCGCACAATTTCTAAACTAGCACTGGATGCAGTCTTATTTTATGCTGACCTAGGTAGGATCAGAAAGCTGCTTTATGGAGCTTTGACTACTGCAACTAAGTCACCTCCATTGATGGGCAATGCATCGCCTATAAACACATGGCAGTGACTCTGTTTTGTACAGTATGTTCCATCACATTTCTGTGTTTGAAGAACTAATTGGACTTTCATATAATGAACCTTGGTTTCGTGGTTCTATTCAGAATGCCTTTCTCTATTACTGGATCGGTGTCTGCTACCACCAGTCACTGGCTTTGCAGAACTGGTGCTGCCACCAGAACTGTCTCCTGCAGCAGCAGTGAGGACCTGCAGGGCAGGATACCACCAGGAAAACCAAACGGTTGTCAAAAAAGGCAATCAGCTTAATCTTTTCCAGGTATGTTGGAGATTAGGACATAGGAAAACAAAGGAGGAAGTGAAAGGCAGGCCATATGGCCCAACTCCAGTAACCCCAAAAGAATGTCTGCTTTAAAGCAGGTATTTTAATGAAGCATATCTTGTAGCAGAAGAAAACCCTACTTTGCTACCAAATGCAATTTTGATATAAATTAGTTCCTTTTAGCACCTCCAAATGACAAGATTACAAAGCACCTCAAAAATCAATAAGAATCTCATTACTGCTACTAAAGATGTATTTGAAAAAAAAAAGGTGAAAGTATTGCATGACCTATATCAGGCCCAGACTGTCAGCACCAGGTCAGGAACTTTTTTAATTACTTTACTCATCGCTTACTATGATGATCCTTCCACGTGCAAGTCCCATGGATTCGTGTCCCCAATTTACAGCCTTCTTAACCAGTATTTAGCAATTGAAACCTTTCAATAGAGAAGTGAAAAAGTTACCCTTCAGAACATATGGTTAAAAAGTGTAAATGGAGAAATCTGAACAAATAGAATTCATCACTGGAGTTCAGTCACAGAAAAATATTTGTGGCTTTTCTTTTAAAGCAAAGGCTCCTTGGTACAACAGGATATTTCTTTTGGGTAGTCAGCCATTGTTCCTTGAAATGGTGCCCTGCCTAATCCTCCTCAAGTTAGGCATCCACTTTATGGTCACCATAATGCAGTACAACGTTGGCAGCTTGTCTTTGCTAGTGCTAAAACCATTGTCGCTATCGAGAGTACAGCAACAGCACTAGTTACACAATTAGAAAGTTTAGGATGGACAAACCCAAAGGTTCACGACAGCAATCCAAGCTGAGCTGAAGAGTGGTCAGAGTGAAACAGTTCTTGGTGCTAATTTAAAGCCAAATCCTTCACAGGGGGTTTTGCGGTTTATAGTTGAGAGTTAAACTGTAATGGAGTTTGTTGTGGTGCCAGTAACTCTCCTTGTGAGCAGCGCCCTGCTGAGCTGTGTGCCATGGAGACCCATTTTTAAATGGTCTCAGCCCAATCTGAAGACAAGGAAGACAGGAAAAAGAAGAAAACTTCATTGGAATAGAGTAGTCTGGTCTTTCCTCCTGTCAGCCAGGACAGCACAGGCACATGTGTACTGTATTTCTTAATCTGCCTTTTATTTTCTGTCCAACAAACCATCAAGCAGCTCTGACAAATCAAGAACAATGGGAAACTCCGTCCTGTCTGAGGGAGTATTTCCTACCTCCACAGAGCCATTCTGCACCTGCTGCTTCTGACACATCCGTGACTGAGGCAAAATTTAAAACAAAAAAACCCACAAACAAGAAACCTCTCTCTTCTGCCCTTTTGCCTGGGAGTCCTTTTAAATCTGTGAGGCTGGTATCAAGGCCCTTGGCCAATTGTTAACACCTGTGCCATCGTGTCAAGTTTCTTTTGAGAAAGAGCCAACCCCTCTCCTGAGTCGCTAGGGATGGTATGCCCTGCAAGACACAGTTTTCAAGAGGAGACTCTATACATTCAAGAATAGCTAGAGGATATTGGCAGTGTTAGTCAATTCAAGTATCCCATTCCCGATTTCACTAGCTGTGGTATCAGCTTTGATCTTTGTATAATGCTTACAAAACAAGATCTGTTCTGAACCAACTAAAACAACCAGGCATGTAATATTTCTCATAATACAACATATAAAGTTTTATCACTGTCTTTAGAAGGCTATAATGGACACAAGAAGCCTAAATCCATGAATATGCTAAATAAGATGCATCACAGGAATGTTAATGAAAGAGCCTTGGGGAGAAGAGAGCAAGAAGGTAACTTTTATTCTTTTCTACCTCCACACACACACCCCCAGCACATCTCTTGCAGGGTATCGAAAGAGTTTGTGATCTGAAATGCAGCACAAGTCAGGCTGAGGTGGAACAGCAGTGCTCAGAAAAGGAAGAAATATTTCCAGGGATAACTGGAAAAGTGTTTCTAGCATGAGAGAAGGGAGACAGCAGCACAGTTGACTCCATGAGACCTGAAGAAGTTTGTGAAAACCTTTATCCCCATTCTACAAGAGAGAAAATTAAACTGAAAATTACTTTCCCATAAAAAGAGGGATAAGATGATTTATACACACAAAGTGGAATAAAGGTGGCATTTCAGGAAGAAAGTGATTTAAAAATAAGTACAAATCTTTGCGTAAAAGTAAGATAGTATGCTATGCTGTCATACCAGATAAAAACACCATGCTAGCTGTTTCCAGCTCTGTCAGTTGGGTTGCAGACACATTTTAAGGCTTGCTGCCATCCGTCCTGCCACTGCACAGAGCCAGCAGTGGCACTATGTGTTAAAGGTAACTTCTTGTTTGGTACGAAACAACATAAAATTATATAAGATGTAGAATAAAGGTGTAATCAAGAGCAGTGAAAACAAAACATTGCCATTCAGTAACAGAACTCCACAATTTTCCAAAACAATTCATTTCTGATATAGCTTTTTTTTAAAAAAAAAGCTTTTTCATTGGTATTTTCTTCAGAATTTGAACAATTTCATTAAAAGCAGTTTTACAAACTTTTTTTGCTTATCCCTTTTGGAATCACAAGACATTACTCCTAATATTATCACTAAAGAGTACTTTTTTCCTAACTGAGTATGAGGAGGTCAAATAGAATTCAAAGGACCAGTAGAGAATCAGCCTTTACTTCTGTATATTTGCTTTCTTGTACCTTCTTCCCTTCTGCTTAATTAACTCTCCCCAACCCCAGAGCTCCCCTATAGCACACACTTATGGTCCTCTATAGCGGCATGTCCCTAGCAGTGCCAGAAGTCAGTGGACTTTATCCATTTTGCAACGCTACTGAGAGCATGCAACTGAGCAACGTCTTTCTCCTCCAAAATATATTTATTTTGGGCAGGAAAAAAAAGGAAGACAAAACTAGAAGAAATTAAGGCAAAAAAAAAAAATCACAGAGAGAAAAAGAAAAATGACCTGTTGCAGAAGGATGTG